AACGCAATAACTAAATGAGAACTGATATTATTAAAAAGATCATTCATCTTTCGTGATTTGAAATAGTTATCCTTGGTGATGGAATATGTTTAATTTTAGATAACGTTAAATAATTTCTAGAGAAATCACTACACAAGTTCATATCACAGATGATTCCAGAGACAAATAGTTTATGAGATTCTAGTTTATGAAAAGCATTAAATTCCAAACAAGCCAATCTGTTCTCTAATGCTCAGGAATTATTACCATTTACATGAAAATAGTTTGAGATGTCGACTCAGGAAGCCGACCTTTCGATTTTTATAAGGCTCAGGGTGCCGTTCCACTAACCGATCTTATCTAAGACCAATCTTAGCAGGTTACGCCAATTTTACAATCGTCTTAGCTAAAAGTTACACCCGTTCGACTACCCGATCTAAGGCCGATTGTAGCCGGTCCCGATCTTACGATCCGATCGAAGCTTAGATCGAGACTCTTTCGTGCGAAAGATAGAGGAATGCGAGGCACGAGTTATCTCCCTTTGCATAGTCTAGCAAATGATGGAATCAGTTTACGAACCAACTGAGTGAGTGAGTGAGTTTAGATTTACGCCGCACTCAGCAATAGTCCAGCTATATGGCGGCGGTCTGTAAATAATCTAGCTAAGATGCATAGCGTATACGAACGGAACTTCATTGTTGCATAAGATATACATATAAGCATTTGATGTGTACTGAAGTTAAAATTGTATATACCTAAGTAAATTTTCATTTGTCATAAATATAATATGTAATAGACATCATATGTTCACATGGCATGATTAAATATCGAGGTAAAAAACACAGAAATAAGATCAAATTTGATCAGTCACTATGCCATCTATGCATTAGAAAATCTGAAAAGCATACACTGCTGGTATACTTTATTGCAATCAGACAGGAACTACCGGGGGTATTCTCAAATAACAGCATCTGATGAGCATCCACCCTTCCTAATTTCCCGTTGTTTGGGGTGAAGAAATTTTGTCAAGGTGGCCAGAAGCCCAGTCCCTGTGTCCGTCACGGTCGAGGGAGCAGATACCGACAAGCTTGCAGTTTGGGTTGGTAATTAGACTGTTGGCGAGAAACATTAATCGCTCTGGATCAGTTCCCCTCAAATTACATGGGGATATATAATGAGAAGAAGCAAGAAAGTGTACATTCGATTTCGAAATGGCTAATGCTCAACTTGAACATAAGTTTATTCCTACACCTCGTTGGTGCAATATGTAAAAGGCCAAAGACAACCCACGAAGAAGAAATACCGATACCTTCAAGAACTGAGACACCAGTTTCAAAATGGAATGTTAACTATTAGACAGTTTGCTGATTCAGCATCTCTTCTTTCACATCTTTAATACAATTATAATGTACTTATAAATGTGTATGTATATTTAAAATTTTGTAATATTTTGAAACATTCCATAATATGATGTAATATAACTATTTATAATTCCTGTAAAATGTAGCATGTTGTAACATGATTAAATAAAATCTGTCCATATAGTCTCCCGTTACCACTCGTGGCTTACGCCTTCTATGTTTTGTATGTGTTTCATATTTCAATGTTTATATGCTAAGTGAACTGAGACTGAAATAAAACACTATCTTTATACCAGGGCGACTATATATGTTGTAGAGTATCCCTGTTTATACATATATTTGGCTCGTTTTCTCATTAGGTGTGCTCTCATGGGCATAATCCGGAATAACCTCTTCTATCAACACGTAGGCCTATCATTGTCTCTATTATCCAATGTTAATTTGCTAACGGAAGGGACATCAACATTTCCCTTAACGCACCCGTTAGGACCAAAGGTCGATAGAGGGGAGTTTCCATGTATATTCTCACGCCGTTATCAAGAAAAAAGTTACTACAACCAGGTGAATAGAAGTATATATGCATAGTGACAAGCAGCATATTAACAACAGATAATTCAGCAAGTAGCACATCCTTGGGGCCAACAGAAGAGCAAGATCAACAAGTCTAAATCCATTCCATTGTCCAAGTGATGGAATCAATCAACATTCAATCAGCTTGTTTATCCTGAACGTTGTACATCGAAATGCCGCTCTATGCAATAAACAGGCAGTTGTGATCACGTAAGTGGTATGTTTCGTTGTGTATCCCCATACTGTTTACTCCAGTATAAGTGAGATCTGCTTCACTTTGCGAATGACCAATTGATTTAAGTTCTACTTTAGTAAACTGCTACCTAACAGATTGATCTGAGATTAAAACATATCATTCCAAATTCGTGTTTATTATGAGGTTCACTTTTTAATGGTTAATGACGCGATGGACGTAGGGCGCGTTGGCCATTGATCTAAAAAAACTTCACGATACTAATCGGCTAAGGCATATCTTATCTAGATATCCCTTTTCCACTGTTAAAATATTTATTTCATTAAAAATATGAACTGTCAATAGTTTATAGTGATATGTATTTATTAAATATCCCCTTGCTTTTGTAAAAGTATTCATCTCGCATATGGTTCATAATTACCTTTCAGTAGTTCAGAAATAGTGGACTTGATGTACTCTGCTCTAGCCGGTTATAAGTTGTACCTCACTTGTCTGACACACGGTTACCGGTAACGTTGAGAGGTACGTTAACATACCCGTGTTTCAACTGTCTGAGTGCATTTCTGATTTTCTTTGGGTACACGCGGAGCCATGAAGAGTTATTGCTAAAATGCGATTGCAGTGATTTCTACTTTTAATCCGCTTTATCACATATGGGCGGTTGGGTAGACTCGCTTTTTTGCTACACTGAATGTCAGAGTTCGATACTTACATGATTACAATGATTTCAGCTGGTTCTGATGTTTACCCGACATACTGACTTAGAACAGCTTCAGAGGGCTGCCATACGTGCTCATTCTTTGCGAGGCAGTGGAGTAGTCCAATGGTTCAGGTCATCAATGCGTGAAACCAATTTCTGGTGTCCCCTGTTTCCTACAAGCAGCGTAAACGCCAGAAACTGTTTTTGCCCAATATATTTATGAAAATCATCCCTTTTGGACAAAGGTAGTGTATTTCACCTAAATACCGACTAGTTGAAACTGAGAGGACAGTCAAACACAGGATTCCCAGGGTTAAGCATGACCACACTGCAGCATATCAGACATCTACGTTTGTAAGCTTAGACGTTTACTTCGAAAACACTTCTTGTTTCTATTTCTGCTTATCCTTTAAAAGAAAACGGTTATGCCTGATGGTCCGATCAATGTGTGAAGTCGAGAACAAATAAATGCTTAATTATTGAGGCCGAAAACAGATACAGAGTATCAAAGCATGGAGTCATGCATATGATCAATAAGTTCAAGGATATCGATTTGTTTATCTTTACATCATATCCCCTAGGTTACCTAAAGTGTGCATATTTCTCAAAAAACATTTCACGTTTTCGCTATCGTGGAGAAATCATGTTCCTGCTGACGTCGGTCCTTCTTCTCACAAATGCAACATTAATTTCAGGTAAGTTCATATAAAGGGACATAGTCCAGATATATTGTTTTTCGACCAAATATGGAATTCGTTTGGAAAGTGTTTGTTATTGTGGTAGTGGTATAATCGCCAGAGACATAAATATATATTTCTGCATCTAACTGGAAGAAGACCTTTCAGTGTTCATGTGTGGCATTGTTCATTACTGTTATGTAATATTAGTATATTTTTCTGAAACGGACCTCGTTTGTTCTTTATGTCTATTGATGTGATTATACTATAGTATCTTATTACTTTGCATTAGATGACCTTGTTTCGATAGGGAAATCCATTAGCACTGGCTTATTGTTTGAGATGTTATATTGTTTAATGTCAATGCATAGTTGTGTACCAAGTCCAAAAAAGCATATTTATCATCCAAAACTGTGTTCCACAGGAGATATCGCTTGTGTGAGATCATATGATATCTCCTAGGAGATATCGTTTTGACAGTAGATTTTGTACAATGCCCTGACAATGCTATGACATCATCAACTTGATGACGTCACAATTCTATGACATCGCTGCACTGCAAATCAAATGGTGTTGAGAGATGTACATTTTTCTTTGAAAACTAATGAAGAATGATTTTTGCTGATAAATAGAATCTCACCCTCGTGTCTACCGATATCAATTATATCAACACTCGTTGATAAAGGTAAAAATATCCTCGGCAAGCCTCGTTGTTGATATAATATTGATATCAGTAGACACTTGGGTGAGATTCTCTATTTCCCAAAATGGTCGGGAAATGGATCCTTTTGTGTAAGATGTCCACTGTTAATATATCATTTTGAGTTAAAGCCCCTCTGTATCTGGAGGCGTTCTTGAGAAAGATTCATTAGTGTTATGTTATGTACTATTATTATAAAGGAAACAATCATGTTTCTGGTATTTATGTTCTATTTTATTAAAGGGAACAGTCCTGTTTCTTGAATTTGTATATGTTCAGAAGGAACATGAAATAATACCTTACTGTTTATCACAAGTGAAATATCAAGTCTATTTGACTGGTTGCAACATACAGTTGTACTTTGTAATTACATCGAATGCCTATGTCTGGCAGGGATAATATGTTACTGTTGTTCTCTAAATTATTCCCCTGTATACACTGACACGTTACCTTACAAATGGTCACGTTTGGACTTTAACAATGTTGAGATTGGCATTGTGGTTAAGATCTGCCGTTTGGTTATGATTACACGAAATCAACCTGGCCATGCGATCCAATAAATCTTACAGCCAGCTTAAGTCGCCTGTGGTCTAACCTTGAATAACAACGGGGTTCTTATAAAGTTGACAAGTTCCCATGAAAGTTAACTAATATGCCCAATCGTTTTCAGGACGTCCAATAATTCAGCGATCATGTCCCTTCTTTTTTCTCAGGTATCGTCAATAACCTAGCCTTGGGTAAGTCAACTAAATCGTCGACTTTAGCAAGCAACAAAGACAGAGCAGTCGACGGCAACAGAGAATCACGTTTTTTCCAGAACTCGTGCTGGGAGTGCCAAGTCGGGGACATGCAACCCTACTGGATGGTTGACCTTCAGGGCGACTTTATTTTGGAATACATTACAATAACTAACAGAGGAGATTGTTGCGGTGAGGATACTTGACTATTTTTGAGGCGTATAGAAATGTAGAAATATACCTGTAGAATTATCAGCCTATTTTCTTGAGGTGAATAAAAGTGATTCAAGCAATGTATCTGGTTTGGACTTGAAACGTGACAAGCAAATGCTTTAACCTCTGGGCTACCCCAACTTATCCTTAAGAAGGGGTGATCAATTCAATTCAGGTATGGATTATTTTAACATGTTGTTAGTGCAATTTTTTTCTTTTTCGGGTGATGTTTAAAAAGGTAGGTCTGCTAAATGTTTGACGACTGAGTTTGGAAGCAATGGTTTCATGATACCGTACAAAATCAACTATATACTGTGAAAACGTGGTATACTGCATATCAACTGTAATGTTTTGGGGAGTGTCCATGATGATTCAAATGCAAGGCGAAGTTCACTTAAAATATTACTCACACGCATAAGAAACACACGTTTTTTATCCGAACAAGAAACAAACTCGGAACCCTAAATTGATCTGAGTGTATGACATGTAGTGAAGCCTGATGGTGTTATCAATAATTTTTGTTGCGTTTAGGACGTTTCGAGAAAAACACATCAAAAGAAGCAATCACCAAAACGCACCATACCAATGCACATCATGCACACATTTCTCGTGAAATCGAACATGCAAGAATTGTCACCAACTTTAGTGGGTATGAGACAGTCCCCCACAAATGGGCCTATTACTCCTTGTTCAACAATGCCACGCTTAACTGAAATTGCAAGAAACCAGGCTATCGGACGTTTGAAAGCTGAGGAGTTTGTCCAAGATGGTGCCCGTCATTTCAACGTAAACATAACCACGATCTACCGTCTCCAGCATCGATACAACACAACACAGACCACAGATTACCTTCCTCAGAGCGGTCGTCCTAGGGTTTACCACCCCTCCACAAGATAGGCATATTATCCGTCAACACCAGTGAGATCCGTTCTTGACTGCAAGTCAAACAGCTCGAGACACCATAAGAACACACAATCGACGCATTAGCCGGGACACTGTGATCCAACGCCTCCGTTCCAACAATCTCAGATGTCGCCGACCAGCACGTCGACCCGTTCTCCAACCAAGGCATCGACAAGCACGATTTCGGTGGGCACAAGGTCATCAAAATTGGCGTCATCGTGAGTGGAGACATGTCATCTACTCGGATGAGAGTCGTTTTTGTGTGTCCCATGCAGATGGAAGAGTCGAGGTGATCATTTCTCTGGTGAAAATGTTTTGGAAGGGGATGCATTGGGTGGACCTAGCGTCATGATCTGGGCAGAAATTGGACTTAATGCGAGACTTGGACCTATGTGCTTCCAGAATGTTGGTCAAGGTCGGGGACATTGCTTAACATTATATCGACCAAGTGATCAGACCACATGTTGTTCTATTTTTCGCACAACATCGTCAACACATATATTCCAGCAGGATAACGCTCGTCGCCATGTTGCAAGAGCTACCATGACCTTTCTCCAACAACACAACATCCATATTATCCCGTGGCCAGCTGTCAGTCCTGATCTGAACACTTATGGGATGAGGTCCGCATAATGTGCGACCAGTCCCTACAAGTGCCGATGAACTTCGCACAGCTGTTCTGGATGTGTGCAGAATGACCTTTACAAATCGTCTGATCTACTCAATGTACAGGGGATGTGTGGCCGTGATCAATTCTAATGGTGGTCACATTCGGTATTGACTGACGTATTGGCTATTGACCAGAACCTGTGTAACCTTTCAGTTTCGAATGCTAAATGATGTCATCAGTCTTTGCAGCCAACGAAATGTCATCACTAAAAGGTTTGCCCATCTTGCCCTCTGTTAGTATTTCTTGTGTTTAATGTTGAAAATTACATACATGTATACTTTATACTCGACTTGCGTTTCTTTTGCGTGTGAGTATATTTTGCATATAAATTAGTTTTTGCTCTTTCATACATATGGACTATTTCGTTAGTAAACTCAAATATTTTGATGTGAGGTGTACACGGTATACGGCATTACCATTGACCCACAGGCCGGTCACCTGATCGCAAATATAAGTGTATGAACGATGTTTTGATGTTCACATGCTTTTCACGAGTCTTCTTGATATGACGGACCACTTCCACATTTCTTGTGCCAGACCTGGGAAATAACCAAACTTGAATAAAAACAGAAGCGTTGTTTGTGAAGATTTAGGGCCTGTAATCTTGATCTTGGATGCAAGTCCTTTCATGAATATTCTCGCTTCCATTTATCATAACGATGAAATGTACATTCAAATTATGGATTGGATGAGTGTTCTTAACTGACATGTATAGATTTAACTTTAACTTTAATCTATTTGAGACATCTTTTCACCAAAATCAGTTCAAATATTTCGTGAAACAAAATGTAACTCAAGGTCTGCAGGAAGAAATATATTAAGAGAGAAATATATTAAGCAGGAAAAAATATATGAAGAGGTAAGTATATTAAGTATTATTAGTCAGAAATCCCTGCAACTTTCAGGTGACCGAATGCATGCCTTAAAGATTGAGGTTTCGCAGATGACCCCGTCCAGAACCCACTGATTCCCTCACAACTTTGTGCCATGTATGATGGACCAATGGCTGCTGGTGCAACAGAAAATATTTCATGTTCTTGCGCTGCCCAAGGGCGTTATGTCAGAATACAGGGTCTGGACAGACAGTCGGAGGATGACCGACTAACACTGTGTGAAGTCGAAGTGTATGAGAGAACACAATCAGGGTGTAAGTATAAAACACTTTTCCATAGTTGTAGGTGTTATTTGGTTTGAGATGAGTCTAGTTTCCGAATCCAAGGTTCTCGGATTTGAGAGAACACAAACAGGGTGTAAGTACAAAATTCTTCCCATGGTTTTAAGGATTATCGTCATACGCCCTCGAACGGTGTAACTCTGCTCAAAGAACCTTTTAGCAAGTGTCCGAATCACACAGTGGATTCTGTTTGTTAGCATAGACTTCAAAACAGTGTTTATTTCCTTTAGAAACCGATCACGGATTGTCTTTTAGAAGTGTACTACGTTTGCTGGTTGAATCTGACCAGAACCCTTATGAAAACCTCTTATGAAGAGCAAGAGGTACTTTTCTTATCTGGCCTATCGTTTTGGCATATTCCAGACTTCTTTGTGACATTCTTCGACTCTTCTCTCAGTAGGGAGTGTGTCCATCATGAACGCCTACGTTCTTCTCATGGAAATTTCTTAATCTCAAAGAAAGACCGAGAAAATATTCCTATACCCAGTACAAACGAAGACTTCCAGAACCCGACCAATGTTACTTCAGCGCTTGGTGGCAACCAGGTATGTCGGGGATGTTCTCCCAGTTGATGTCACATTTGCAGTTGAGGGCAGCACCTACTATAGCTACAACAGAAGCTGCATCGGCTTCAACTACAACTACAACACCCATGGCTGTGGGCTGTCAGTGGGATCTGCCAATGCAGCAAGCTCTAATGACTGGTTCCATTTCTTATAACGCCAATATCGTTAAGAAAAGGACTGGATGATGTACAATAACATTTCCGTAATGCCCCATTGTACAACAGGAAACAATGCTTCTGACTAGATTTCGGGTTATTTTTTTTGTAGTTGCAAAATACCAAGTCAACCTCTCCAAAGCATAAAAATTGATCACGTCATCTTTCGTAAAGACAATACAGTCATAGTTGGCCATGCTGCTTACGCGGGCATCACAGATAATGAAAACAGGGAGCGAACAAAAAGAACATGAAACGGACTTACGTAAATAAGTCAAGGTATTCGAAATTTAACACAACTGCAAAATGATTTAATTTTGATTATGCACAGACGAAGCTTTTACATCGAAAAAAACGTGAGTTCGAAACAAGGGTGTTCGACTAGATTCAATTTATAAAAACTAAAGATATGAAACCACGGCGAACAGTTTGATTTTTTTCCATGATGCTTTCCCAAAAGTATTCCAATTTAAACTGTACAATCTCCCCATGACGGTCTGGGTTAGAAGTAGTCTTCAGCATCTAATGCTTGGCGACAAACCGGATCTGGTCTTTGACGTTCTTGATGCAGTTCATCGTTTACAAGCCTCTGGCAAAGAGACCGCCTCCGTGGTGTAGTGGTTAGAGCGTCCGCCCGGAGAGCGGAAGGTCGCGGGTTCGATCCCCGACCGCGTCATACCAAAAGACGTTAAAATATGGTACTTGTTGGTCCCTGCCTGGGGCTCGGCATTAATGGGTACAACAAGGACTGGTCGGCTCGGAGTCAGTATAAAGTGTCTGAGTGGGGTATTCATGCTTCACTGCGGCATGGTATCTCAGTGGGCTAGCACTATAAAACCAGCTTCAGTCTGGGCTAGTACAAGCAGCCGCACATACACATACACACGCATGCACGTCGTCATATGAGCGAAATATTCTCAAGCACGACGTTAAACCCAGTTTCACCTCAGCTCATATCTAAGTGAAAAGCTGAAACCCCCAACATGAGTGTAATCAGAAACAGTGACAATTCTTGATGTTTATTCGCAAACAAAATACAACTGTTGTACACGATATACACCCAACATGTTTGTAATTTGAGTGAGAACAAAGAAACTGTTCTTGAAACAAACCAGCTACCCATGAAGATCCGGGTCAGAATTTGTCTCAGCAACCCATGCTTGTCGTAAAAGACGACTTACGGGATTGGGTGGTCAGGTTCTCTGACTTGGTTGACACATGTCATCGTATCCCAATTGATGCTTATGCTGTTGATCACTCACTCACTAACCCTACTGTGACAATATTGGGCAATGAGGAATGGGCTATCCGCAATGAACACATGACAAAGAAGGTTATGTCAGAATGCTACCCAATTCTCACCTGAAGACAGGATTTATTTATGTAAATGTAAACAACCTTTTCTAAACATTGTCGATCTCAAGATGTACACAGTAAGCGAATGTGGACTTTCTCATGTCGATGAGTACATACAAGTACAAACGACTGACTGACTGATTGAGTTTGGTTTTACGCCACTTTTAGCAATATTCCAGCAATATCACGGCGGGGGACACCAGAAATGGGCTTCACTCATTGTACCCTTGTGGGGATTCGAATCCGGGTCTTCGGTGTGACGAGCCAACGCTTTAACTGCTAGACTACCTCATCGCCCCAAGTACAAACGAACCAAGAGAGAACCTTCATTAACAACAAGAGACACTTGACAGAGTAGATAAATGTTTGCCATTTTGTCACAACAGCAACATCGGTGTCAATAAAATGATGCCAAGTCAATGTGTGTATAGGTATAAGTGTTGATTCAACACCCTAATTATTGAGTATAACGTGTTTAAACTCCTTTTTTGTTGCCCTACAATGTAAGGACGAGGAGAGAGCATCTGGGACAACTTTCAAGTCGTCATACACAACGATTCTGGCAGCGTTGCCAGCGACAGCTTCCACAAGTGCCCGAGGACGTGAGAATAGTAACAAACCTGGGGGTGAGATCATTATGAAATAGGTTACTGTTTATTATTATGTCAGTTGGAAGCAAATATACACATAAGTTGTTTTGGGGTTTTGTTTATTCTTAATGCATTATGCAGTAAGGTACTTTTATAACGAGGGGCGGTGGATTAGCCTAGTGGTTAGTGGTTCGATTCCCTACATGGGTACAATGTGCGAGGCCCATTTCTGGTTTCCCGGCCGTGATATTGCTGGAATGTTGCTAAAAGCGGCGTGAAACCATATTCACACACTTTATTTTGCTGTTTGCTGACATTGTGTCCTTCTCAGAGTCAGTGATTGGTCTATAAAAGCAACTGGATACTTTCAATGAATGGGCCGTCAGGGTGAACTTAAACAAAATTAATGAATTGTTTTTACAAAAGGATAAAAAGGGTCCAAATCAGAAAAGTGGACATATAAATAATCCGGCTGTTTCCTGACTGGTAGGGGTCATCTCACCTTCTGTGCTCAGTTGCACCTGAAGTGCGTGCCGGCGCTGTTCCACCAACAATTTGTCACCCCTCGGTGCGAAGCGTGAAAGTAGCAGAATCTTACATGATGGTTTCTTAAACAACTCTTTCCGTGATCGATCATAAAACGTCATATTTCAGATCCTGTTGGGTACAGAGGTTTCAGGACCATGTGTCTATTTATGTTTTGTGCACTTATCCCTATTTCGAGTTATGTAATCATTCATCGTTCCCATTTGAACCCAAACGGACTATAATGAAACCAGTAACGTGTTCAACGTCAAACATTATCTAATGGGGAAACGTTTCTGTGACAAACTGCAAATGTCCTGCAGTATCAACTCAAGTACTAGGGGGTGGTTCAAGGGTGTATGTATGTTGAAAAAGTATTGACATACAAACTAGGAAAAGGAGAATAATGACACTCCAAAATCCAATAAAGGCCATCAATTAAGATAATATCGATAACTGTCCTTCATCCTAGGCTGTACAATTATGTTCAAAAGGCAATAATCCATTGTCTCAAATAAGACAACTATATCATATTGTTTTGGATCCGTTTTGAATCGATAACGTTGATGTAGTACAGACTGGACACATTGCTGTAGCCGTCGTTCCACTCGAAGTTGTGGTTGGGGCTTAGGCGATATAAAGATGAGTGAGTGAGTATGGTTTTACGCCACTTTTAGCAATACTCCATTAATATTACAGAAGGGGACACCAGAAATGGGCTTCACACATTGTACCCATGTGGGATATAAAGATGAAATATGTAAGAGTGATGATAGGTAAACAATATGTAGGGGGAATGAAAGAGATGTACATGTATTGTGAACGCTAATTCCCTTTTCTATGGGTAACGTTGACGTAGTACAGACCAAAGGCAACACTGTAGTCGTTCCGCTCGAAGATGTCGTTGGCCCCGGACGTCAACGTCATCGAAATGTATAGCTGAAATATGTAAAGGTAAACGATATGTAAGTGGGTGAAAACTAGATGCTTTCCGGCGTATCACATTTAGCTTTATAGATTTGCAACTCTTCGTTACGCATGAATATGCTGTTCACGATTTCAAGATTGTCCTTGAGATCCACTGTATCACTCAGTGTTACTTTCTCTTAATTGATGCCCACGCACCTTGGTGTAACTAAAATAGTTATCAGCGCGGCATGAAACTAAGCCTACACGTGATATTTATCTTACAAATAGCTCTTTCAAAACGAGCAAAAGCGTAATAAGGAATCGAAGGATATATATTAGATACGAGTGGAGTAATCTCTTTCTTACGCAACATACTCGTACCGTTTTATCATCGACATTATTTTGTCCATTACCATGGTCACTGTTGCGAATTAAAACATAACACAACGGTCATTTGTGACATCATCCGACCGGTGATTGTCAAGACCCGGATCATGATGAAAACTAGATAATACCTACGAACCTATGTTAAAACTCGGAAAACATAAAGATATGACACAGATGTAGGGGACTTCGTACGAAACACGACTAACTTATTAAGAAAATTACGACCATTAAGTAGTCCGTCATAATCTGACCTTTGGTCATCACCATGGAGTAGCCAATCACGAACCTGGAATTCCATCTCACTTCTGTTTGATACCAGGTTTCTTACGTGGGTGTTCTCATTCACAGATGTGTAAAGAAAACGTCTAATGTTCAAAATATTCCATTTTCCGGAGATCTGATTTGAGGCATTGGTCGCTTCATTAGGAATCAGATTTATTATGAGTTTCACTTTTCATAGACAATGACGCGAGTGACAGTAGGCACTTTGGCCAGTGATTTAAAAAAATTACAATGCTCAACGACTAAGGCAAAGCTTATCTAAATATCCCTTTTACACTGATAAAATGTTTATTTCATTAAAAATATGTACAGTCAATAGTTGTGATAACTTTAAATTGCTTATCCCCTTATGTATTTCAGTAACATTCAACTCGCACATTGTTCAAAATTACCTTTCAGTACTTTATTAGTTTTGGACTTCATGTAGTCCACTCTCTTCGTGTCATTCGCTGTACCTGACACACCGTTACCGTAACATAGACAGGTACGTTTATACCGGTGTTTTAATCTTCTTAGCAAAATCCTGATTCTCTTTGGGTACAGGCGGAGTCATGGAAAGTTAGAGCTAAATTTTTTATTATGCACCTTCAGTCAACTTCTTTCTTCTTCCATCATATTTTGAAAACTATTAATCATGGACAAAGGAAACACGATTCCAACAAATTATCGACTGGTTGAAAATTGCGGAACAGCCAAAAGTCACTAAATCACATGATTCTCAGGTCCGAGTATCACCAATATGTAACATATCTGAATACAAACATTCCATTTGTAAGCTCTAACGTTTTCTTTCGAAAACACTTATTTTTGTTTTTAGCCTGTTTATCTTTGTTGGGAAAGCAATTATTCCCGAATATCAGATCAATGTGTGCAATCGAGAAGAAAATATATAATGAACAGAAACAGAGAGAGGGTATCAATGCCCGTGGTCATGCACGTCGTCATACACGTTCAAGGATATTGATTTCTTCATCTTCATGTCCTATCCTTAAGCTCACCAATAGTGCCCATACCTTTGTCGGAAATTATCAAAGATGTGCTGTCGTGGAGAAACTATGTTCCTGATGAAGTCGGTCCTACTTCTCACAAATGCAGCTTTAGTTTCAGGTACGTTCATATAAAGGGACAAAGTCCAGATATATTGTTTTTCGACCAAATATGGAATTCGTTTGGAAAACGTATGTCATTGTGGTGGTAGTATAATCTTCAGACACACATAAATATATATTTCTGTATCTTGCTGGGACAATACCTGTTCCATGTTTATGTTTGGAAAGGTTCATAATTGGTATGCAGTATGACCTATTTTGCTTGAAGCGAGCTCTTTTGTTCTTAATGTCCATTCATGTGGTATTGCTATAGAATCGTATTATTTTCATCAGATGACCGTGTCTGGTTGGGAATTCCATCAGCGCTGCGTTATATTAAGAGATTTATATTAAATGCCAATGCACATTCGGGTAAAGCTAATAATTATTATGCATGTTTTCCAATTGTTACTGGAAAGGATCCCTTTTTAGTGTAGATATGCTATCATATCTCAGGAAACAGATTTGTTTCTTATTACCGTGTTCAGGAAAGGAATCTGTCAGTGGCATGCTATAACACCATTATGTTTACCAGTAATGAAATCGTAGCTCAGATCGACTAGTTGCAGCATACTTTACAGTTGTACATGGTGATTAAACTTCCGTGAATGAAATTAATTAAATTGAATTTCGATTTCTGGCAGAGCTGATATGTTAATGTTGTTTTGTGTATTCCTCCCATGAGAGACACATTGACATGTAGACATGCAAATGATCACGTTTGGACCTGTGATTGTCATTGAGTTGTGATCCACACCGTCATATCATGAGATGTTATATAGATGTTATAGAGATCAATATTTCAAATCACTAACTATGAAGGACCATTTTAAAAATAAGTTGTCATTTTATAATTGGATGTTTAAGAAAATTATTTAATTGATAAATTTTGATAACGTACAGTAAATAAACAGTTAATTTTAAATTTGGTCGAATACATACCTGTGATCGTTAGTGGCTTTACCCTCAAAGGGGGATGAAGAAGTGTAAAATAATTGTCCTCCAGGGAGGATGCGTAACACCGAATCATTCAAAGTATGTTGCTCATTACCAGGGTATTAATCGTAGAATTTGTGTTGTTTTAAACTTGGCTGATAATCGGTAATTGCTAGTGATATGATGTAAATCCAGCTCGCGTCCATGCAAGCAGCAAAGATACTGTAAGTTCCCATTGTCCCTAGTGTGGTGATCTCCCTCTAGCTGCTGGTCTCCTATGACCTGTTTGTATATTGTACTGTTACAAGTGATGATATATTCTATGGCTACATACTAGTTCTTAAACGACATCTGTAATTGTCTAGTTATTTTACTGTTCTTTGATGACTGAATTTTATAGTAACAACATGTATATACTGTGTATGAAAAACTTTTGTTGTCACAATATAGCTGAAATACTGACGATGTCACTCTAACCTTTAACTCACTCATTCCTCTGAGATTCGTGCTCGCGAACATAGATATTTTATCGACCTCTGAGACGTAATTCTGTACTCCGGTTGGCTACCAGTGTCAATAAGTCCAAAAGTGTGATGTTATGAAACTTACTAATATGCTCAATTATTTCAGGATACCCAACAAGTTCTTAAACTTTAAATGATCTTTTTCAGGTATCCTCAATAATCTTGCCTTGGGTAAGCCAACTAATTCTTCGACTTTGACAGACTTAAAAGACAGAGGAGTAGACGGCAACAGAGACTCAAATTTTTACAACTACTGGTGCTGGCAGAGCGAAATACAGGACATGCACCCCCTACTCGATGGTTGACCTTCAAAGCAACTTCTCATTGGAATACATTACTTTAACTAACAGAGGGGATTGTTGTGGTAAGGATCCTTCATGCTCTTTGAGGTATATTGGAATATTGAAATATATATGTAAAATATCACATGCCTTCAATATGACGAGCAAACGCTGTAATCTCAAGGCTACATCCACTTACCCTTGAATATGTATGATTTCTTCAATTCAATTACTGATTATTTTGCCCTGTTGTTAACTTGTTAGTACTTCGGTTCTACTTCATTTTCTAATGAAGTTATGATTTAACAGGACCTTCTTAATTACCGACGACAGAATGTATAGTATGATGCCATACACAATCAACTATTTACTGTGGTACCATAATTACATTTTTAACCATATTGTAATATGATTTTCACATGATTGTGATGCAGGATCCCTACCATTTTTTTTCTTTATACAAAGGGACTATTTCGCTGGTATGTTTTAATGTGAAGTTTACACGATATACAGCTTTTCCACTTGACATCATGTCCGTGTTGCTGTATTTCCACTCCTTGTTGTTTGTGTGTTTTCAAAGTTCAGTTTAAATATTTTCTTATTTTTGCGAAACAAAATGTAACTTAAGGCCTGCCCAAAGAACTGATTTTGGTAATGCATTAAAAGATGTGAATATATTCGGTATCATTAGTAACACCCCTGCATCTTTCAGGTGAACGAATGCATAACTTAAAGATTGAGGTCTTCACAGATGACCCCATCCAGAACCCACTGACTCCCTCACACCTGTGTGCCATGTATGATGGACCAATGGCTGCTGGTGCAACAGAAAATATATCATGTTCTTGTGCTGCCCAAGGGCGTTATGTCAGAATCCGGGGTCTTGACAGACAGTCGGAGAAAGACCTACTTACACTGTGTGAAATTGAAGTGTTTGAGAGAACACCAACATGGTGTAAGTATAAAACGCTTCCTATAGTTAAAAGGGTTATTTGGTTTGGAATGAGTCTTGTTTCCGAGTCCCGGGTTTTCGAAAGCATGATCAACCGGTGACCGTATCTCGCCCCATGTTTGTCACCCCTCAGAAACACATATAAACAATAGTGTTCACCTGAAAAAAAACCGTACATATGGTCCAAGTCAAAACAGGCAACTGCATCAGTCTGCACTTGCAGCAATGATGCGTCAAAGTTTGAGACTCCCTCCCGACTTTACTCTGCCGTTACGTCAGAATCCGGGGTCAAGAAAGACAGTCGGATGATGATCGACTAACACTGTGTGAAGTTCGAGGTGTTTGAGAGAACGGAACCAGACTTCCAATAGTTATTGTAAATATCTTCTTACGCCCTTGAACGCTGGAACAATGATCTAACAACCTTTGAGCAAGAGTCCGAATCACACAGTGGATACTGTTTTCGGCACGGATAACGTATGGTTATGGACAGTGTATATTTCATTTAGAAACCGATCACCGATTGTCTTTTTAGAAATGTACTTCAGATGTTGTCCAACAAGTGCTCTTTTTATTTGGCCCGTTTTAGGATATTTCAGTTTTGTTGTAATCTTCGACTCTTCACTCAGTAGGGAGTGTGTCCATCTTGTGTCTTCACTTTATCTCGTCAATGAAATCACTCAATCTCAAAGAAAGACCCAGGGACTATTCCTTGCTTATCTGTATAAGCTTGAGGTCCTACACTGTTGAGTCTGGATGTGGATGAGGTCACGAACATTGTTTAGCACAATTCATCACAAACAAGTGGGATTGGTCAGTGGATCGTGCTCACCATGGTTTTGAGTCAGATACTGCTGTACAACTCTTCAAACAGGTAGAGGTTGCAATGCCCCTCTGGGTTTCTGGTGTGAAGTGTCAAAAGGCCCTTCCACTGTGACTTATCTCGGTATCTCGCACAATTTATAACCCTATATATTCACAATCATTAGAGTGTTCCCTATATCTGTTATTCCCCTGATCATGATGCAGCATAGCCAGATGTGATAACCTCCAAGAACAAACGACGTTACCTAACGTTTGAGAATTTATCATCAAGCATTTGAGAATTTAATCTCAAAGTTTGAAGCAATTTTCCATCAGATGTTTGCTATTCTTGCAAACCAAAACTTGCATGAACTCTAACTGCAAATGCTTGTCCTAGGAAGCAAACTAACGAGCTTGGTCAAATTAAGTTAACTGCATATCATCAGATTGTCCAAGACTTGGACCCGTAAAGGTCCGGGTTAGAATATTGATCTTCACTAACCCATGCTTGTGGTAAGAGGCCACTAACGGGATCGGGTTGTCAGGCTCGCTGACTTGGTTGACACATGTCATTGGTTCCCAAGTGCGCAGATCGATGCCCTTGCTGTTCATCACTGGATTGTCTGGTCCTGTCTCGATTATTTACAGACCGCCGCCATATAGCTGGAATATTGCTGAGTGCGGCATCAAACTAAACTCACT